TATCTGTTACCGAGTAGGTCGTTTCTTTACCAGGAAGAAACCATTCGAAAGTAGCATTTGAACTGCCGATGTTCGAGTTTTTTGTATTGAACGATAGATGTTTTTTTTGGATTACGCTCGGATTTTGCAATTTATTAACGAGTGCGTTGTTGTACAGCAAATCGTCAGAACTCTTGTACTTGGACGAATTCGACGGGTTTTGCATAGGTTGAAGACTGTTGACGGACGATTTTGTTGAAAACGGTGTTAGCTCGGAAGACAAAGAAGACGATTGCTGTAGTTTCGGTCGAATTTCGTCGTCAGAATAATTATCGACATTTATCGAACACCACGACGATGGTGATCGTTTGTTCGTCCGCGGGCCAACGGTCGGGGTTTTGTTACTTGAGCTACTATCCCTGGTCACGTGACCCAGACGGGTTTTCCGGATCCAACGTGGCGCGTAAATAGTCTGTCCGCTCGATGTAGTGGTCGAATTTTGGGTATCCGTTATTTCAGAAGATTTTATTTCCGACGACGGCGATGATGATGACATTTCTCATGCATAGGTACTTACACTTTACAATATAATTAACGACTATGTATCTTCATATATTTATTTAAATATATATTAAATAAATATTTTTTAAAAACTTTACATAGCAACTGCCATTATCTTGTACTATACACAAATTATCGTTCGTTCGTAAAATATATAGACTCAAAAACTACCGAACCAATTGACATTATTAAATTTAAATTTTGGAACTATAATTAGTACTTTTCGTGTTATCACGTTATATAAGTCGGGTTTGGAGGAAGTACTAAGTTTAAATTTTGTTTTTTTTTGAAAGCACTTATTTAGCACTATATTTTGTCGATATAGTGGGATTTAATACTTTCACTAATTTCAATTGGCGGGTGTTTTTAGTATCGTGGATATAATCAATAGTAGGGCCGAGTGCTAATTTTTATTTGTATATATTCTGAAAACAATAGTTAAACATTAAATTTGAGTACTATAGCGGGAATTAGTGCTTTCTATGTTCCCTTTAACTTCACGGACCTGAATGTGAGTCTGTCTGGCGAAGGAGAAGACAGAATTTAAAAAACGAGTAATTGTAAAAGATAAACAATAAACGATGCTATCTGGAGAGGAAGTATAATGATAATCGTGGATCCAGTCTATAATCCGGTGATTAATATTACTAATGAGATTTTAACATAAGTTATTATAAATCTCAACAATTAAAATTCATAAAATTAGTAAGGTATGTATGCAAAGCTCACACAATTAGATTTTAAGACCTGATTGAAATACAAAATTAAATAAAGAAAATAAATAAATAAATACGATATTTATATATGAAAATAAAATAAATAAATCAATCAATGCATCGCCTAGAGTATTATATGACCGGTCTCGAAATAAAAATTCATCATCGGGTATATCACAGTCAAAATGTAAAACATTTACTTTATTTATTTATGGGTATGTATGTTGAACTCCCTTTTGTTAGAATCTATGCAATTAGTAGATAAATCACAATTGCTGATTATTTTATATTAATATATTATCAATTATCATTATTTTGTTGTCAGTTTATCAAGTAATACAATTCGACAGCGTTTACACTGGCAATTGTATTTAAAACAACAATACTATATTAGTCTTAATAATAGTATGATGAAAATTATTATTTAACTATATATTTTGGTTTCATTATTAATACCTCTTTTTAGTTAGTTTAAATTATTATATATTTTTGTTAGGAAATCGATTCTCTAAGGAAAAAAATATTCTTAGTAGATCTCTACCAATAAAAGTCTGACCACCCCTGATATATATTGTAATATGGACGGGCGTCAGACCGCTGCGAATATTTCGGATTTTTACAGTGCTCTATTCAAACACATTTTGTTTTATAAATTTTTCGTACTAGAATTGTTGGTCTTTTCTCACTTTTCTCACGCTCCACGAATAATAATTTCGTTTAAACCGAAAATACGATTATACGTGTATAGTATATTGTACTTGCCTACTTTTTTTCATTTTTTTTTTCTTTTCTGTTGTTGTCGCACAGCGGGTATTTCGTCGCCGTCGGGCGCCAAAGTCCAGATAATAGGCACCTAATAATATTCTGTATTGTATGTTCGAATAGAAATCCTCACACACTGTACCAGCTATATCATAATGCGGGTACATGCCGGATTAACGTTTCCGGTATATTTTTGCCGCGGACCGGGCAGTACGAGTTTTATACAGTCCGATCAGGAATTAGATTAGGTACACAATATTGTTATGTATCCAAAGAAAGTAAGTCGACAGAGACGCTCTATTCGTGATGTGCGTGTGCGCGTGCGTATGAATAGCGTATGTTTAATAAAAATACGACACACGACGCGCGGCGGTCCAATTATATTGTTGTCGCAGATTCTTACCGGTATGGGAAACGCGTTTTTTTTTTCTTTTTTTTTTTTCTATATAATAATATACTCGTATGTACATATACAACGGAAGGACTTCTCCCGCGGTGCTCGGCTACAATATAATTGTATAATAATCCGTAGTCGTAGCTCTACAATATAACAATATCTCAAAAACGTCGTGTAATACAAAACGGTCGTTCCAGACGATCGCGTACAGTCGTACCAAATTTTAACAAGGTCCGGATTTAAGAAAACACCGCACCGCCAGTTACACACACATGTTAGATTTCGATATTTTTTTTTTTTTTTTTTGATTTTTGATGGACATTTTTTTAGAAACGATTTTCGTATAGCCCCGGAAAATATTCAATCTCTTTAAATGTTGTCGTTCGTGCTCAAACTCCGAGTTACTGACCTAAACGCCACGGTTTGTGTTCTGAATTACGTGATTTAGCTGTGTGACCCGTTAGTTACACTAAAACAATACAAAACAACTGCAATATCACGTCCCCTTAATTGCTTTCGGACTAACGGGTTAGACTATATAGTCAGACCACTGTCAGAGTTACTGCCTCGTGTTTACTTCAGAGACAACAGATCTCAGTGCGGGACCATATACTGTACGGTATTTGAAACCGAGATAACTCAGGAGCGTTATTTGGGGTATCGCAATTCGTATGGTATACATACATTAGCAGCCCTCTTATTTTCCGTGCCTTTTTGGCCCGTTTTCATTTCATGGCTTATGGCTTATAACCGTATCAACGCTACTATTTGGTTAGATTGCGTAAAATTATCATCTGCACGCGTGTACGTACTACACCTGGAAAACGCATACGTAAAATCATTGTATTTTTCGAATAATTGTACAAATTTAAAATGTATACCTTCAAATTAACTAAAAATATTGAGCCTAAAAATTCGAATGTCTTATAATTGCGTAGCAATAACCTTTCTTAGTGATATTTTTTTATTTTTCCAAAATTACGGAATCAGATGGTATTATCACTATTTATATAATATGATAACACGTCGGTCGCATAAAAAGGCAAAGGCATTCAAGTTACACATAATTTGAAATAAAAAAGAAAAATTCCTTTACTTCGGTTACGATCGATTAAACATTTAAAATTAAATTTAAATCCATCAAATCGGTACGCGAGTGTTCAAACGATAAACGAAATG